ATTTCTGAATATATAGTATCGATCAAGCGGAATTTTTTGGTGGTATTTTCGTATGTCTACTGCAAATACTCGCGAAGTTCTTTAATATTTAATCTTCCTGTCATATACGTCGGAAATTAATATTGGCGGATCGAATTGAGTTAATAGAAAGTTAAAGTTCATGTATGAACAGGTACCTTTTGCTAGCTTCGAGCAGTCAATCCATCTTCAAAAGATTCTGATCGATTGTGGTGGAGTAATGGAACAAAGAAAGCATCCCGGCCTGACATGTCTAGGACTTGATATGCACTGTCTTGTAAAATACAATTATCCTCAATGTGAAGCTAAAAAGAAAAGTCGACATAGAAGATTATGTTAGTTTATGCGATCATTTAAACATTTTGGTGCATGATGTATGTTTCATGGCCAGAAATCGCGGACATTTGAGCCCATGCATTCCGTGGCAGCAGCTTCTCTCGTATGTCCATTTTATCCTCTCTTACCCTTCAGTTTACCGTGTGCATCCTATTTATTCCTGTCATATCCAATTTTATAACAAATCACGAGGAGCAAAACATGGCAACAAAACGAGCTCGAAAAATACATGATTATAATCAGTTGAATTCTCTGTCCTTGGTTGTTTTGTGGGACACAGCTCCACAGCTGAAAAAAGCGAAGACTTTCTATGAAGTTGAGAGAGTGATAACAAGGCAAAGGATACACTTCGTCAGACCATTGTAAGTAAGACCATGTTAATACTATATAAACACTCTGCTTTGGTGTGTTATGCAACAGAAACAATGTCAGTACTCTGTAGAGACATCTACAGCAAAAAACGATTCGATATACTTTGATTTTTATACAGTTTAAAGAATAAATATTTACAATCCTACAACTACAAGCTCGATGAAACAGCCAAACAGAGATCTCAAATCAAACTTTCGTCATGTTCCAATTCAAAATGTATATGGTATATTTATTGAAGGCAATTCATTAAAAATGCTAATACGTTTTATATGCTGTTTATTATGTATATTATATTAAAATTTACATACCTTGAATGGCTTGAATGAGCAAGTAACACGGATTTTCATAGCGCTATTAAACAGTTTAAAATGTGCTCACCAGGCTGTCCAGGTATAACGTTGCATTGTGGTAAGTGTTATAATTGTGCAAAAACTTGGTACTTCATCCTGCAAGGATATAGTGGATACGTAAAAAGTCCTACCAACTTAATTAATTATGGTAATTTAATAGACGGCCCCCTATACCTCTTCACAATATGCTGTCACGTAAAAATGTTTTTCCTTTTCACGAGTCACGAAAAATTGAAAAAATTCCTTCACATTCACGGATCAAAATCATCGATCACGTTTCACAGCTAAGTAAAATCATGGTTGTTATAAGACCTGGTTAGGAAACCCGGCAAACTTCAAATAAATTACGCTATCAACAAACATGGAGGTTGAGCAGTCAGTTTGACCCTGCACACATTGGTTTTAATCAATGAGAATTGACCAAATGATGTAACAAACATTCTCCATCACAGAACATCATTCTCCATCACAGAACGGACTATTGTCAAAACAATAGAAAGACAAGGGATTTTTCAACCCTGCACAAGGTACACAATCACCTAAAACAAAGGGTTTCCAAACCATGTCATATATATTAACTATAGTAAAATAAGGCCATCACGATTGACACAAAAAGTATAGGGGGGCCATCACGCTTCACACAAAAAGTATAGGGGGCCCTCTTAATAAGCAATTCCAGCTTTTAGTTCATGCGTGCAGGGGGGAGTAAGGTATCATATTGCTGATTATGGTGGAAAAAATATTTCGGTTGTTTCGGCAGTTTTTATTGAAATTTTTCAGCATATTCAGCAATATGATACCTTTCTTCCCGTCACCCCCTGCGCATATAAATTAAAAGCTGGAATTGCCTATTGTGTGGTGACACGCTATGGGCAACATGGTTTCGGTATATATCAACTGGAACCCAGGGTAATATTAACTATGACTTGTGTAAAATATCTAATACTCGTGTAATATTGGCCAGGGGACGAGTTCATGGCTGTGTTAGGTTATTTTGGATCGCTTTGGTTATTTATGTCGTTTTATATTGTTTTTTATATTGGCCGTTTTAGATCGTTTTTGGTCGTTTTAACAGTTTTTGATCGTTTTAGATCATTTTACTGGTCGTTTTAGATGGTTTTAGGTGGTTTTAGATGGTTTTAGGTGATTCCTTGTTTTAGTAACTACGTTTTTATTGACGAAAAAAGCTTTAAAGATTCCTTAATTTATAATAAAATCTAGTTATCAGCCCTTTTACAGTGCAAAATACAATGAAAAGGGTTTCCTTTACTCACGTTTTGTTTGCAACTTCGAAACACAGTTTCCCACGTCGTGAAATAAACTTGACACGTCGTATAATTACAAGCACATGCGCTCTTGGGATTTGCTATTGCACGAACACTTCCGGTGCTGTTCCAGAACGGTCGCTTCTCAAATCTTAAGTTTGTTAATGAGTTAACCACCAGTACTCCACTGGGTGTATTTGACTCATTATTTGTAAATATTAATGCAACTGTTGCATTTATATACATACCTTCTTTTGAATAACAGATTGCAGCTCCTTTATGAAATCAATCTGAGCTCCTTATGCTGAGCCCGGGGGTTCTTGTTATATGACAGAAACTCTTCAAATCTTCCTTGCATTGGTTTATAAGATATGACCGGGGCAAGTGACTGTCTGGCGATACCATTGTGAGTTCATGGTAGGCAGCCTCTCCGAAACAAAATTTATCAAGGATAAACAAAATGTTCCTTACTTTCTGCTTTTCTTCTCCAGACAAGTCCTTACAACCTCTCTCTGTATGACAATGTGTGGGTGACACCATTTTCATCAGTGAAGCTTATGTTTTGCAAGTCCAACCCAAAAAATTTATCAAGGATAAACAAAATGTTCCTTACTTTCTGCTTTTCTTCTCCAGGCAAGTCCTTACAACCTCTCTCTGTATGACAATGTGTGGGTGACACCATTTTCATCAGTGAGGCTTACGTTTTGCAAGTCCAACCCAAATGTCTTGGCAAACCATAGAACTTTCTCCACATTTGCTTTTCAGTTCCTTCAGTTTCCTTCTTTGTTGGCGATCTCCAGTCTGTAATTTTTTCCCACTGTTAGAAAATCCCACGTTTTGACCAAGACTCTTCAAGATAGTCGTGAAGATTTCGATTTTCATTTTTCAGGTTAGCAATTTCTTCTGCTCTGGCAAAATTTTTGCTTGCCATTCTCTCCGCATCCTGTGCTTTAAACAGTTCCTTGACCAAATCTTCACAGCGTTTCTCCAAGTCCTTATTCTTGAGCAGTTTGGAGGCCAGTTTCTTCTCTAGCTCAGCCATTGATGCCAAATCATCAAATTGAACCGCAAGCTTCAGTTCTTTCTTGAAAAGCTTTCGGTGACTCGATCCACATTTTTCAGAAGATTTCCTTACTATTTGACCACATTCTCTTCTTAAGTGCCCTTCGATGCATTCATTATCTTCTCTCAATTTTAATCCTGTTTCTTCTGAGAGAATTGCATTAAGAATTTCCACGTATGATGTGCGTGCTATATTTTGGGCCAATGCTTGTTGTCGAGCTTCGTGCCACGTACAAAGGCATTTAAATGCACAGTGAAGACTACTCTCTTTTCGGCAGTATCCTCTTTGGCCATATACCAGTTTCAATGTTGGGATCAACACGAATGCCATGTTTAAATTTGTCCAATTTCAAGTAGTCAAAAATAGACATCTTTCGAAAGCTAAATATGGATAAATAGTTTCATGATGCTATACGATTGCGGCAAATGTGTAGGGTATAAAAGGGAACGAGATATCAACTCAAGAACATTGTCGTTGAATTGGATTATGGCCATTTCCAGTTCGAAATATAGAGGTAAATTGTGAATATATTTTTGCGAAAAGTTCATTTTGTGTTAGGCAAAATAACCATCTGATTTGTTTATCAAGCAAAGGGACTCTTTTCAATTCTAAATCCATTGCGACATCTGATAAATACAACATCGAAGAACACTTAATATGTGAATAACAAAACTCTCATTAATAAACATAATAATAATAATTTAATACTTATATCGCGCAAATTTACATTCATATATGATCAAATGCGCGTAACAACTGTTGAGATTTAAAATTACACTATATGAGCAAAAATTTCTATTCCACTAATGTACCATAATGGTCCTAAAAGTTTAAAATAATTAAAACTAGTGAGTATATATATATATATATATATATATATATGTACATAAATATATCAATCTCATTAGCTAGACAATGTCATATGCTGTCTTAAATAAAAATGTCTTAATAAGTCTTTTAAAATGATTGAGGTTGGTCACAGTACGTATTTCTCGGGGAAGTTCATTAAAAAGTTTTGGTGCAGCTGCGGTGAAAGCTCTAGCTCTATCTATCTCTGCGAGCGGCTGTCGAAGGAAGTCGAAGATGATGCTCCAAAGATGTTTAGTTCAATTAGTTCAATAAACATTAGCGACATTTGCCGGCCATTCTAAGGCCGGTGTTAGCACAAGCGCATTGTGAATGTTCACGATTTCTGGCCATGTATTACATTAAAATTTGTGTTGTTCTAACAATCAATTTGTGTAAAATTTTATGCAAGCACAATTACATCAAAATTTGGTGCAAATGCAGTTTGAACCACAACATTAAATTGTAAATATAATCCTTGCAGTTATTTCAAAGACAACATTTCAAAGTTATAAACTATATTGCAAATTAATTAATATCGTTGTAGGACATGAAATTGATAAATTATATATAGGAGTCCTAAAAACTGCCCTGATCAACAAATAAAGGTATCAATAGAAATAGTGTATCAAAATGAGTAGCTGTAGAAAGTTTGTCTTGTATGCGTTTTGATAAATCTGCTTTGAATAACGAGCTGTTAAAAATCGTGAAAATTAATTAATTGAGAACATTGTTTTGAGTGACGTGTGTTTCCCAAACGGAATTAACAAACAAATCTATCACAAATATCAACAAAGATACACAACATTAATATTTCCTGATATAATGGATATACATATTATATATGTAATCGAGTAAATGACATCACATGGTTTCAAACAAAATGAAATATCTCAAGAGCAAACAATGTGAACCAATTTTTCCAAAAGAAGTTACTTTACAGTTTTAGGAGTTTTTTTTCTTTTGAGACAATAAAAATTTTAATGGCAGTGTCAGTGCTACTTTAATTTAAAATTGTTTCATTTTCTAATTTCCCAATTCTCTGTATATGTCTCGTGTTTTTTAACGATAATATTTTTGTTACTAGATGCCTAGAATGTTACTCACTGATTTAGTTACCCGGTGGTGTTCGCTAAATCACACTTGCACCAACTAGGTTGCCTGTGATGTGTTCTTTATGTTTCTCTTTGTTTTATTATCATATAATGGAGATTCTTGCATCTTGATGTTTTATTTGACCAAAACTGATATCGTGCAATTATGGCGCATGCAAAAGAAAATCTCTTGGAAAGCGCCGCAATGGCAGACTTTTTGTTAAATAAGTATATTAAAACAACAACAAAAAGAAACGTAGAGGAACCAGTGGCGTAGCTATAGAACCTAATTTTCTTGTGGTGGGGGAAGGGCTAAGCGAACGCATTATAGCCACAGGCGTGAGATTATATACCTTTGCGTTTCTCCCCAACTCAAAATTTCTCAGTAATGCATATGTTGTTCAATGGATGCAATTTGTTCAATGTTTTGTCAAATATAATGAAAATTATTTATGAAGTACCGAGTTTTAGACAAACAAATTTGGAAGCATTTTTCTTCCGATCTTCGTATATGAAAAATATCCTCTTGACTTTTGCGATATTTAGTGTTAGATATAGCTGCAAGAATATACGCTTGACTTTTTTAAAAGAAAACATTACAGTAAATGCCAGCCACATACATTTGTTATATACAAGGTTAAAATACACTAACCTATTATCTTTAAATACAAATAATAATATACATCACATACTTAAGAAACCAATAATTTGTGGAATTTGGAATATTTAGAATATTTTGATGACCAAAATGTGACATGCCATAGACCACTCTTGCTGTAGCGTCATCAGTTTGGTTGAAAACTTTAAATTAGATATACCATAAGTTGTTCTTTTTTGGAACCCCGTTATTGGAGAACTATCTCTGTGTGGAAATTCCAGTCATTTGTAACCATAGTACTCTATATATAGATCTATTGAAATGGCAAACTTATAAAATAAAATAAAAATAAAATTCTGCTCCAGCGTCGGAAAAATCACCAGAACTCCAGCTCCGGCAATGCCAGCACACAGCACTAAAATTATCTCATTCCCTGTTCATCAACAGTGCATGTACATAGCATCTTTGAACTTCGAAGATCAAATTAATACCAACATAAAATCGGGGAAAACAATACTAATAAGTTTAATGTATAAAACAAAAGCAAACAAAGTCAAAGGATGAAAACGATTCTTGAGATTTTTGAATTCGCAATTTTTGAAGGTGTTTGTATAGCGAGGAAGAGTCATTCGTGTCATTTTAATGGTGGAATAACATAATACATAACTACCAGGTGATCTTGATACACGGAAAAATACTGGCACTAGTTGTCAAATAGAAATCCATTTTATGATTAAAACAACTGAATATCTCCTGTAATATACTTTATTTTGATTCCATATTTTTGTCAGAGCTATAGTTCTCATAACCAAACATAATTACAAAATTTCAACTAGTTTCATAAAGAATAATGAAAGATATAACTGACTGAATACATCAAAATGGATTTCTATTCGGACAACCCTTTCTGAGCGCTGATTGGCTAAAATACGAACACGAGATCACCTGGTACTGTACGAAACAATTTTGTATAGGGGGCTATTAGTCAGGGGTGATTATTAGGTCATTAGTTGCCTATTCCCCTTTTATTTTAAATAGTTTAAACTACAAACTACGAACTGACCTAAATATAAACAAGGATGAAATTTTCAATGAAATTATTTCAACAACTGGTAAAAATATTATCGTTGGTACTATCTACCGACCGCCAAGTGGTAATTCTGAAATGTTTGAAAATAAACTAAATACAATACTAACTGAAGTTGACAAAACAAGGAAAATAACATATTTGACAGGGGATTTTAACATTGGTCTTTTGAAATCTGATGATTGTGAATATTCTAGTAGACCCTGTAAGCAACTTTTCACCTCATCTTTTTTCCGCTTGGAAGTAGACCAACTAGAATAACCCAGGATATACAGCTACTTTAATTGATAACATCTTTACAAATTATCTTAACATATAGATTCTAGTGTAAATGGATTAATCTGCTCAGATATTTCAGATCATCTCCCTATATTTCATATTGCATGCTTATCCTCAAACAACAATAACCCCAAAATGGGAAATTCACATTACAAACTAATAATAAACGAAGATATATCTCGACTTGTTTCTAGCATCTGCGAAAAATATAGCATGGAAAAGTACTTTTGAAAGCAATTACCCATGTAATCGTAAGGGATTTTCAAGATAATTTGAAAATAGCAATTGATGAAAAGTTTTCCCTTGTGAAAATGAAAGACAAATTTCACACAAAAAGTCCCTGGATTATGAATGGTCTCTTTAAGTCTATATCAAAGAAAGATCAACTTTATAAAAAAATTCTTAAAAAGCAACTCACAAAAGACTGACAATAAAAAATACAAAAAGGCCTATTATGAAAAACAATTTGTTAAGTACAAAAATGATACAAACAAAAACATGGCAAACTATCAACGAAGTTCTTAACAGAAATAGACCAAATCTATCTAATATTTTTTACAAAAGAGTCCAAATAACAATGTTATGAATCCCCAGGAAATTGCTAAACAATTTAACAAATATTTCGTAAATACATAAATAGATATATTACTCAGCACACTCCCTATCAGGGTTTTTCAGTGACTGGTTACACTAGAGCTGGAACTACCATGAAGCAGACAGAGGTAGACTGTATGTGAGCTTACATATGGTGCTTTAAGCAGCCGTCATTAGTCCATACCTCATTAATGATCTGACCTAGTGCCTACCCACCCTGTCAACTTTCCCTGTGGGAGGAAACCAGAGTCCCCAGAGAAAAACCACGACTTTCGGCAGAGCATTGACTTTTACTCTTTTCACATGAGGACTGGGTTTGAGTCATTGAGAAATTCTCATGGAGATTTGAACCTGCAACCTTAGAGGTGAAAGGCAAGTGTGCTAACCGCTTTGCCACCAACCTCCCTAAATAATAACATAACATAACATACAAAAGCTACCTTAATGGTAATTATGTTGAAAGTGTGTTTATTGAACCTGTGACAGAATATGAATTGCAAATTGAATTAATAACTTAAATGAAAATAAAAGTGCAGGTCATGATAAAGTAGTGCAAAAATTATAAAAACGATTAGTGAAGAAATAATCAAGCCTCTAACATATATTTATAATTTGTCATTTCAAACTGGAAAAATACCAAACTTTCTGAAACTAGCTATAATTAGTCGTATTTATAAAGCAAATGAAAATAATCTTTTTGAAAATTATAGACCTATACAGGTTTTAACTTGTTTTGCTAAATTACGTGAAAAACGTATGTACAAACGACTATATAACTATGTTGAGAAACATCAAATACTTCAGAACATCAATTTGGTTTTAGAAGGAACAAATCGACTGAGTATGGCATTCTTGAGCTGACCGATAAGATTTCTAAGGCAATGGACGAAGGTCTATATACAATAGGTATTTTCCTTGATATTTCTAAAGCCTTTGACACAGTGAATCGGAAAATTCTAATAAAAAAACTTGAACACTACAGACTTGGAGGAATATGTCTACAGTGGTTTATAAGCTGGCAAACAAAAGTTTTGGCAGCTTTTATTTAGAGATACAAAACCATATTGTTGAAAACCCACAAGTACATGGTTGCATGAAGTGATGTTTTGATTATCTATTTTTGGCTTAATGGCATGAATTTTTTCAGAAGGAAAACGTTTTGTAATTTGACGCAAATTAAGTCGCTCTTAATAGTTAAAATCTGCAACAAAGCCAACATATTTAAGAACCAGTTGGGTTATTTTCGAAATCTGTGAGAATCTGTGAGATATTAACAAGCTGTGAGCTCACCGTGAAGTTTTAGTAAAATCTGTGATGCTCATGGTGGATCTGTGAGAGTTGGTAACTATGCCCTATACACATGTATCGTAATTTGTATATTCTTTACCCTTTATTGAGTCAACGGCTGTTCCAATGTACATGTTCATGTTGAAATCAGTTTAATAAATGGTTTTGTGTTGTAGTTTACTACAGTTCTACTGCTCTCTATTTTTATCTGTAGGTTTTATGGTACAACATGGTCATGCGGGGCAGGTATTTATATTGGACAAACATTTTTGCCCCCCCCCCCTTTTTCCACCAGCCCCCCTCCCCTGTAATTAATGACCGGTCCCTATGAAAAGGCCAAAAAAAAGTTATTTACAGGAAAGAAGCCAAATTGTCAAATAGGTCAAATGAAATCAACATTACGAGTGGAGTCCCACAAGGTTCAATACTTAGAACACTCTTATCTCTAATATACATAAATGATATTGAAAATTGTAGTAACATTCTTTCTTTTGTTTTATATGGTGATGATACAAATACTGTTTATTCAAATTCATGCTTAAAAACCTGGCTATCTTTAAAAGGGAATATCCCCTATTCCCTCTTTAAAAGGGGGAATATCGCGAATCTGAGAATGATTTAATCCCTTGACTTGTAAAGAGTAGTTCAGAATCTTTAAGCAGTCTACGGGTTTTTTTAAATTCACACGTAAATTCTTTCAGACTTCAGGCTATATACACAGACAAGTTACACTGCGCGTATATTCCAATTGATGTTTTGCTGATTTGTCGTACAGAAACTACTATACTTTCAGCGTCTTTTGTCTGAATACAGACAATATAACTTGTTAATATAGTTACTACATTAATCCTTGCCGCAAACACCTTTGGATAACAGTTCAAAACAGTGATCTTTTGCTAATTTTAGAAGTGGGGGGATGCTCTTGAAAAACAAATGGGCGTGGTCTCTCGATTGGGCGTGGTCAATGGCCAAGAAATTAAACGAGCGGGTGTTAGTCTAATAGACATGCTTGTCAAAGTATGTCACATTTAGTCTAATGACAAATGTGACAGCCCAACATATAACTTTTCACAGAGCCATTAAAACAGTTAAGATTTTAAAGAATTTTTATTGTAAAACCTTAACTGTTTTAATGGTTAACTTTGTTAAAAGTTATATGTTGGGTTCTCATATTTATCATGAGAATTCGTTTTCCACCTAGCAAATCCCTGGTAACATCTACTCTAGTTAAACAAACAATATAATAATATATTTGACAAATATTACATTCTGCTTATGAACGCAAGCGACAAACTGATTTGTAATTTAAACTGCTGTTTGATGTAAAAATGACTAAAATGTATGAGCTTTTTAATTAAAGTAATTTCCAGACGGCTTGCTTCGTAGCTGTCTCTTCATTATCTTCCAACTTGCGTTTCTTTACTCTTTGATCATCTGCTGAATGATGGTTTCGTAACCAGGATTTGGCGTATCTGTCAGGTTTCCAAGCATTGATTGGAGGACCATGCATCTTCACAAACATCAAATTCGATATGCGGTCAATAAGAAGGCGATTTCTTGTTGAAGTGCAGACTAAGTTCATTTGACTAAATCCACGCTCACATTCAGCTGATGAAACTGGGATGCAGGAGCAGCATCTCAGTAAAGGCTGAAGTTCATCAGGAACTCGTCTTCCTTGACAGTCGACATACTCTTGCAATGCAGACACTGTAACACTTCTCGCAAGGCCAAAGCGATCGCACAGTGATCGTACTTCTTCTACACCGTAGTTGAAATCAACATCTTGTGGCCAATATGTCGGATAAAGAACGGAAACTTGGTCTAGAAGCTTCTGGTATGCAGCACTGGTTCGAACAGTGCCAGATGCAGTTGTGGCGAAAAGACGATCCTTCATTGCATTCAGCAATTCGTCAATCAATGCGTTATGATCAACACTGACAAGCCTATGATTGGAACATAGAGGTACAATTCCATATTCACCACTCTTCACATAATCGTTGGCTATCATCATCTTTGTCCCAGTCTTGCGTTTCAATGACTCGATGCTCCTCATGGCTCTTCTAACACATCTGTCGGCTTTGACAATGTTCATTGAACGGTTTTGCAGGATTTCAGAGAGCTCAGAAAGCTCAAAAAGGACGTCACAAAAGAGTGCCAAGTCTAACAGGAATTCTGGAGATTGAATTTGCCTGTTCAATCCTTCGTACATTGCAGTCTGCTTGTCCTTTTCTGCTACTTTGGCTTTAAAATGCTGGTAAAGTGCTTCGTAGTTGTTCCAAACAGCTAAAACTGTTCGGTAACTATTAGCAACCCATCTCGTACTCAGAACTTTACCGATCTTAAGAAGCTGAGCATCTAAACCGTCTGCTGCTTCTTTCAGCTCTCGCATGTTCTTTGGGGACTGGCTGTAAACTGAATGCAATTTACCGATGAAAATCTTAAAATGATTAATTCCCCTCAAATCTGCAATGGCATCATCAACTGCAAGTTCTAAGCGGTGGTTCAAACAGTGCCAGGTGATAAGATTAGGAAAATCCTTCGCAAGTAGCTCCATGACTCCTGATTTCTTCCCAGTCAAGACACTGGCGCCGTCTGACGTAAACGCAATAAAATGTTTTTGCAGGTAGTCCATGTCAAATCCATGCCGTTTTAAACAAGCCAATAACGCCTTGTGAATGTTGTCTGCACCCTCACCGTTTGTCAACTCGATCAGGTCTAGAAACAAGAACTGTGGTTCTCCGGACATTTCGAGTTGTACTTTCAAGTAAACTATCAGGGTTGAAATGTCAGACACTGTAGTGGACTCGTCGATGAGGATGGAGAGTTTCCCTTTACTTTCTTTAATTGCCTTGCAAATCGTAGAACGCACCTGATTTGCAATATGGTCATTTATTGCAGTTGCAGAGAATCGTGAATGCAAACCAATCCCCATATCAATTCCATTTTGAATTTGTAAGTCTATCAATTCTTGATGATCGTTCAGTGGTTGGTCTTTTTTTGCTATGAAATAGCTGGTGCGGAAAACTCTTTTTGTCGTATTCAACATTTTGCTATTCATAGCGTCTATATGGGCAGGAATACTGTTTTTCTTCTGCGTATTCAAAATCTCTTTTGCTTTAGTGTGAGCCTGTGAACGTACGTGCTTGTAAATCTTTTTCCGTAAAGAAGTCAGCCTTCCTTCTTGCGTGGCCCCATTATATGTGACATTAGTTGTTTGCCATTCCGAGCTCAGGTGAAGCCCTTGCGCACTGTGAGGACCGGCTAAACGTTTTGCAGACAGACAGAAATCACATCCCAGTTTTCCATTTTTACACAGTAGCCATGGGTATCGTTGCTGCTTTTCTCGCCACATTTCATCGGTCCAGATGCTTGGCCTGTCAGTCTTATCAGCCACTGTCACTTCAGTCGAGGGTCCTGCCAGAATACTTGGTGATACTGCTTGTACATCTTCATCAGTTTTCTCACTTCTGTCAGCTTTGTCATCTTCATCGCTTTTGCGGTCTGATTTTTCATCATCTGATAGTATTTCTGCTTCTTTCTCAACTTCTGAAATTGAGTCTTCTGTAGATTTTGTAAAGAATCCAACGATTTTAGATTGTTTAGACATCGTATCTCCACTATCTCGTATTAACTACAATGGCTGGCAAGACAACAACCTATTTTACAATTTCTGGCTTAGGCTTGATTTTTATACCGTTGCACGATCGCAAATTATGGATATTTTCAGTAGCATTACATCATAATTTGAATTACCTCATGCATAGTCATAGTGAACAAGTGTCAAGTACATATGCAATAGTTTAATCTTTGAAGTGGATTTAGCAGAACATGATACCTGGAAAGCGCCTAAGTGCCTAACTTGCGACCTAGATGTCAAAAAGCAAATAAAACCACGTCAACCTTCGAATGTCGATGATGCAATTATTGCAATGTACATGTGAGTAAGCAACTTTGCAAGTTAAATATGACGCTTTCGCATTAACATTAATCATGTTAATGTTCTTATTGAATCATTTTATGTTCCCATTGATCATTTTAATGTTTAATTTCGCGATTGCGCGGAAGACTATACTAAGTATATCCTGCTGGGCCGCTGCGGCGCTAACTGACGTTATCAGGGAGATTAAATTAGTGACAAAATTACGTTCTGAAGTATTTCCACGCAGGATGCTGAGCAATTATTGCCAAAAATAACACGTATGTAGAACAAGTGATAGCTAAAATTATTTGGATGGTGTCGAACAACGTTCATTGAACTTCACTCATATTTAATCCCTGCCAGGGGGAACGCCGTTCCCCTGGTAAAAAAGGTGGGGGGATGGCGTTCCCCCTGGAAAACATCACTGGTTCAAAACATTAGTAACAACTGATTACTAAACATTTTATCTAAAACAAGTGATGGATTCTGGTAAACCTTTGTACTCTGGTCTACCTTTGAGCGCTATTCAAATGACAGACTTTAGCAATTAATTAACTCATTAAGTTGCAGACTGTTGCAACATTGGCACTCCCCAAGTTGCAAGGAAAATGGCGAATTTTAGTTACTGTCAACTGCTTTTACAAAAATACCCATATCTCAAGATCAATGTTATAAAAAACCTTGAAATTTTGCAGTGGGTTAAAATGATAAATGATTAATCAATTCTGTTTTAAATGGGCTCCCACACTTAAATATATCATTAGATTTTTGGGTGAGAATTCTTGGTTTGTGTAAATTTAAGTCTCTGACATTTTGTTTCTTCATGACACCCAACATCTGAAGGGCAATAATTCAATAACCCAACATAAATGAAGAAATATTTTTTTATTCCTGGATTGCTACACATTTATTTTCAAATTAGTTTCATCATCTTGTAGGGTATAAATTACAAAATAATGAAACGCTATAAAAATTTGCTTGGGCATAGCTCAAGCACACTCAGGACATCTAGTTTACAATGGAGAACTTGAACTTCAGAACTTGTTGTTCAAGTCCAAAAACTCTGTAACCCCAAAACACAGTGTTTGTACCTCTTTGAAGTTTTTAAATAGCTCAAATATGTTTGGAAAAACACGAAGTATAAAAATTACTAATTAAAATATAAACAAAGGATGAAAAAGGTGAGAAAATTTTAAAGTATTTGAGGTGTTTTCAATTCTGACTTTGACAGCCGGCATTTTCAAACGCAGCGTGCGGTGACAAAACAAAAGGCTTTTTATTTCGCTATTAAGAGCACTGAAAGTCGTCAAAAAGAGATAAACACTTTTGAATATTCATCACGTAAGAATTTTAACTGAAATTCCTTTTGTTTCTGTTGAGAAAACAATGGATTTGTGGCTAAAACGTTGTGCGCGCGAATGTATGTTGCTGTAAAATGTCAGACAGGCGGTTTCTTTTGAAATCTGACTCTAGTTTGAAATGACTCTAGCTTGAAATAAGTCCTTTTCAAGGACCCATTAACTCATTAAGTCTCATTGCGCCCCCATGCTCCCTGGAATTGGGAACGGGGTAAGTCTCATTGTGCCCTCATGCGCCCTGGATGACACTCAACTTCCGGGCACGATTGTCTAGCGCGTGTTTATCGGGTTGCCTAGCAACGGTCACGAGTATAAAGTGGAAAATTCGGGCTTTCAAACGATACATCATGCGAGAAAATTGATCAAAAGTTTGCGAAGATTTTCGATTTTAAAACTCTATTTTTTACAAAACCTGTGACAACCGCAAAGTGTCACAAGATAGGACTTTGCAGCAAGTTTTAAGGATGAAAAAGAAGAGGTTTTTAAAGAGTTTTACATGTAAAATATATTGTAAAACATAAGGGAGTGTGCATATGTTTCAAGTCAAGTTCTTGTCCAAATAAAGTCGCACGATTTTCAGCCAGAAAAACAGCAATTTCTTTCAATCTAACGGAAAAGTGAAGTGGGAAATCGCAAGAAACATGAACACTAAATCCAAGTGAGTAGTTACGTTTTTTTTAGCATGTTTTTGAATGAAAATACCTGGCATGTTTTCATGAAATACGATATAGCATTAAAGCAAGTTCAATCTAGTTTAAAACTAAGTTTTTAGAAGAACTTTTCGTGCATTTTATGGCATGATTTCGACTGCTTTTGTGACCCTACTGTTGGTCGTCTTGCGCAAGTTGTTATTTTAGCCGAAGTACTTTCAGAAGACAGTAGGTTCAACTTGTCATGTGCGTATATACATTTTTGGCAAGAAAAATTTTGAGTAAAACCGCATTAAAACTAAGTAGAATACTCTACAAAGAATACTATATCTGTTTCTATAAACTTTGTCTCGAAACGAGCTCTCCTTTCAGAGATAATGTGGTTTAAAATCAGTGTATAGAATTATGCCATTACTTGGCGCGTGCAAATTCTGAACCTTCATGACAGGGATTTGAAAAGCTTCTAAATTACACTTTATTGCTTCATATATCCCCATAAAATTTTTAAATCAATAAAGCACATAACACTAATGTACGCTCATTTTCTAAGAAGTACTCATCGATTACCTGAAGGAAAAGTTTAAAATAGGTCAGGAGAGTAGTTTACAAAAGTTCTCCTGTGAAATGGCTTCTTTTGCGGGAAGCCATTAAATTTATGTACTTTCCAAAATTGTAATTTAGTCGCTTTTTGGTCTCATTGTTCACTTATTTATCATGGAATTACTTTGCTTGAGCTCTTTCAATAATATCTGCAAGATACTTTGCTATTTGGTGAAATAAAAGCTATATTTTTAGCAGTTTATCTTTTGAAAACTGCATGCGCAACAAAGTGTCACCAATGTGTTTACTCTCGTCTGACAAACAACCAAAGATGAAATACTTTATTTCACTCTTTTATAGCAATCTAAAATGCCTAAATATTAAATTATTCATTTTATTTGAGCATACATATTATATTTTTATACAATTGGTCCTTGAAAAGGACTTATTTCAAGCTAGAGTCAGATTTCAAACTAGAGTCAGATTTCAAAAGAAACCGCCTGTCTGACATTTTACAGCAACCTACATTGGCGCGCACAACGTTTTAGCCACAAATTCGTTGTTTTCTCAACAGAAACAAAAGGAATTTCAGTTAAAATTCTTACGACTTTCAGTGCTCTTAATAGCGAAATAAAAAGCCTTTTGTTTTGTCACCGCACGCTGCGTTTGAAAATGCCG